GTGTGCTGTTATACCTTAAAAGGATGAAAAATAAATAAAAATAAACATTTATAATATATTATATGTATGTATATACATTCGTACACATTTATATACATACAATAATAATATCAATGAGAAATGAGAAGAGACTACTGCTATGCTCTTTTTTTTTCGTTTTTATTGTTGCCATTTTTTGTTTTTTTATTTATTAAGGGGAGAAAAATGTTCGAAAAAAAATTAAGAAGATTAATCAATTGTGAATTCTAATGTTGTCAATCAGTAATTTATGACATTTTTACGTTTTTTGTTTTTATATTTTATTTTTTTTGTTTTCGCCGCAAAAAAAAAATTAAATGTGTAGAATATTAGTAAAAATCTTGAAAAAAAATCTTTTCAATTTTTATAATTTTTAGTTTTAGAGAACATTAAATTTTATATTATTTATTTTTATTTTAAAATTTGAGAGAATTTATGAGTTCTTTTTAAATCATACAAATGATTCATAATTAAAAACTTTTTAAAATTTTTTTTCAAGTTCTATAGAAAATTTTTGTGTATTCTCTTTTTGGTCTTTAAATTGGTTGAAAATTACATATATTTTCATAAATAAGTTTGGCGTGGGACGAATCTTCATATACCAATTCTGTTTATTTGAAATGACTGTATAAGAAGTTAAAAATATTAGAAGTTTAAATTTAAGATCACAGATTAATTTATTTAATAAAATTCAAAAAGAATTTCTTTAATTGATTGAATTCTGCCGTTTAGATCGGTCAATACTTCTAGTTTAAGAAATCTTTAATTATATATTCCAGATATATTATACAATTTAATTAATTTTAAGACTTTTAGTAAAAACTTGGAAAATAAATTCTTTTAAAATTAAATTATCTAAAATTTACTGAAAATTATAGCAGAATCAATCCCAATTAATTGATTTTTTGTTGAATTCTTTACAAAATATTTTAAAAATTAATTCCCATTCAAAAAAAAAAGAAAGCGAGTCTTTAAAAATTAGTTTTTTGTTTTAAGTATATAAAATATTTCAGCATTTATGAGATTAACGACTTTGTTTTTAATATTTCAACAAAATATATGAATTTAAACAAACTATTTAATATTATATATATATACATAAAGACTATAGAGTATTATACTTATATACATTTAATATACACAATAAGGAAAATATATAAAAATAATTAACATAAAACTTTTTTCTGTTTAATTTAAAATTTTCTTTCATAAATTTTAAAACAGGTTAAAAAGAACATATTACATATATATATATATATATGTAGCTAATTAGAAAAAAATTATTTTATAAGAATATTAAATATTTTGTTTTTAAAGTTTTTGCTTATATTATTGGTTGAGATTAATTCGGTTCTGTTGTTAAAAGAATGACCTGAATTTGAAATTTTAAAAATTTTGTAAAAAGCTACATAATATAAATGTTACTATATTAATGAAATATTATTATTATATTTATATATTTAAAATAAAATGAAACACATTCACGGAATACACAAAATTTGTACGAATTTATTTGCTAAAAAAACTTTCACGAATACGAATAGGAATTTACTGTATACTTGTCGCTATGCGCGAAATTTGCTGACAACTTAAAACTTCTTTTAAATTATTTTAATAAAACAAGAATTTTTAAAACTAAACCATTGTTAATTAAAAATATCTACAAATAGCTATGTATATAAAGTTAACAAAATAATGTTAATAAAAAATTATATTTCAAGTAAATCTAAATAAGTAAATATATAGTCTAGAAAAAACTTACTTCACATTATTTATACAGGTATCGACTACATAATTTATACAAAGCTAAAAACGCATTACTAGATAAATTATAGATCAAAGATCAAATTTATAAATTTTTCTTTAAAACCCCATTTAGCTGAAAGCCTGTGGAGTTGAATATTGACAAATCTAATGAAAAAAGTCATCCATAATATTGAATATTCACTCTCTCGTTCACTTACTCATACAATGGACTTTCATAAATCGGATTTTAGAAGAAGATTTAAGAATTTAAATTTCGTTATTTAATCAAATTTTTTGTTTAATTAGAATTTAAATTATAATTAAAAAATATTGAAATTGGCAAAAAAAAGATTGCATTGTATGTTAAGTTTGATTCTATTTGTTATACCAAAATTTTACTAAATATTTACCTACATGTACATACATATATGTGTTTAATGGAAGACTATTTATTATAAAAAAAAGTTTTTAATTAAAAATAATCAAATAAAAAATTAAATTTAAATTGTCTTGTAAAATAATTCATAATATGCTTCATTACCCCAGTTAATCTTAAAATATTATAACTATTATTTTTAATTATTATACATGTACATGTTTTTTGCAAAATACACATTAGGTTGTAAATATGTACATTTATTTCATATATATACATAAATATTTGTATATATAATGTTTGTATATATAAGAATTAATATAAATAAATTTTATACAAAAATAAATTACAACAAGCGACTTAATCTACTTTGCTTCTTTTATGTACATAATAAAAATTATTATTTGTTTTAAAAGGCAATTTTCAGATAGTACACTTATATAGACGTGTACATATATATATATGAGAAACATGGGTATATTACGTATATATTTATATATGCATACTCGTATAATATTGTCGTTCCAAAAAAGAAAAAGAAATCCACGTTGAATTTAGTAATAAAAACTTTACACACACTTTTACATGTGTACATAGTAATTATCATATATATACGTTATTATATACATAAATCACTTAAACTTAATATATAAAATGTACGAAAAATCCATTTTTATATTTGACTGCCGTCATGTTATATATACATATGTATAATATTAGATTAAAAAGGGTAAAAGCATTCATAATGGTTCATGACACTGGAATTCTAAACTCTGTTTTATCAAAACAAAAAAGTGAAAAGAAAAACCAAAACAAAAGAAGAAAAAATAATAATTTATTCAAGAATATAAAATAAAACCGAAACACAAAAACAAATGGAAAAAAAATGGGAAAGAAAGGCTTCAATGGCTTAAAATTGTTTTTAAAGTAAAAGGATAATTTCATGAGGTCTTTTTTCAGCACCTCTCCAACAAAATACTCCAAAAAAAGTGCTTATTAGTTTCACTCTGCTTGTCTGTCTGCAGAGATGTTTACCAAACTTCTATACCCTTCCATAGGTTTTAATTCTGTAGAAGAAAATTTTTACCTATCTCCCCCTTTAAAAGTTATAGCCCCTCAATGACCTTAAAATACCATTTTTTTGACTATTTACTGTTAAGAAACCATAACCCTTTCTAAAATTTTGCTAACACAGAAAAGTAGTGGCTGGTTTCTTTTACCATGGCATAGTGTAATTGAATTTAAAAAAAAAACTAAATTGTCATTAAAATTTTCCGTTTTCTAAAATCCGTCTTTTGATATTGTTTTTTTTATGATAAACTGCAAGAATCTGAAATTTTAATGACTTCTATATAATATCTAGAAGCCTATCTAATAAATCAAATAAATCTAATAAATTTGTAAAATTCGAACTTTGGGCACCATATATTTCCGAAATTGCAAGCCTTTCCAAATTTCTGTAAAAACGGAAAACTAACGGTATATCCCATGCCATCAAAAAGTATAATTTTTTTTTCTTAGCTCACGCAATTAACCCTCGAGCATAATATTAACGCCTATCTCAATTTTGTTTGCTTCTTGCTGGTTGAAAATATGTATTTTTAATAATGTTTTTAAATGCAGTATTTTCACTTTATAAAGAAGAAAGGCTACTTTACAAACCATTGGTTTGACCTAACTTTATATTTATTTTATTCTGTTTGCTTGCTCTACTCTTTTTTAAATATTTTTCTTGTTTGATTTGAATCAAATACATTATTAACATATACTCGTAACAATATGAATACACATGTAGTATGTAGTACATTATATACTCTTTAAATATTCCACGTGCATTCATTAAAGATTACTGTTATAAATTCTCGATAAAAATGAAAAATGTTAAAGGTAATTTTAACTTAGAAAAATAAAGTATGAGAATAACAAACGAAATTATAAAGAAAATCAAGCAACATCGAATGCATTATCAAAGAAAACATAGACCTTAAAAAAAATTAATAAAAATTAGAACAGTTAAAGTTACCTTTTACACGCTATGCAAGTTAAATATGCATATACGCATATACATATGTATACATATAATTTATTAGTAGTTTGCTTATAAACATATCCGTGTATATCACTTATATTAGGAGAAATTCTCCAAAATTAGAAATATTCCAATTTTTATTTATCATTTACTTTTTCCAAGCTTTGTACTTATACTCGTATAAGAATTGTAAAAGATTTATTAACGCCTTCATATGCATTAATTGTGTCTTGTAATAATGCACTAATTGGTATTGAATTGCACTAACAATTGCATTTTTGTTTTAACTTTTATATCAACAATTTCCAGGTTTTATTATTACAAGTTACCAGGCTCATAAAGTTTTCAAAAATAACATGTTATTTAATTAAGTACATACAAAGAGATATATTTCATTACGTGTGATTAAAAATATGCTAAAAAGTAAACAAAATTTTTACTATATTAACAATTTGTTATGTTCTGCATGTTAACCCTGTTATAGGCTCTAAAATAAAGAACTTTATATTTCCACCTACAATTTTGTGTTATTAGTAAAACATATCAACTAGAAATTTAGTAATTATAAAACATTTTTGATTATATTAATTATCAAGAAAATATTTGTTCTTTCCAAAATAAAGTGTAACAAATACATGCATATATTACGTAAATACATAATATAAGTATATGTTCATAGTAAGTCTTCTTGTGATCTAATGGAATTGGAGAAGTATTACTACAAACTTACTATACATTAAGTATTATGTAGTAATTGAATTTTTAATATGTAAAAATATAAATAGCTAATTCTTGATTTATTTATAATTGATTATCACTTTTTGATTTCAGCTTCGGCCACCACCACAAACCAAAACGGGCCATGAATATGATCCACATCGTGTTAATAACAGTAATAGTGTAGCACATCAAAATTCGAAATCAATAATAGTTGATAAACCACCCCCTCCACAATTAAAAAGTGAAATTCCACCAGGATTTTCACTTTATTCATATCCATATGCACCACATCAAGCATATGTAAAAGAATTACAAAAGGGTGTAACAAAGCCAGATCAAATTTTAGTTAGTTTACCAACGCCACCGCCATTAATGTCAGATAATAATAAACCAACACCTCCGCCTGCAGGTAGTGTGATAGTTAAACATGATACTCACAAACAATCCTCAATACAAGTTGTTCATCCATCAACAAAAATTCAAGCGAATTCCTCAATACCAGCCTCGGCGGTACCGTCTCACTATAAAACAACAGTACAAGCAGGAGCAGGTCTTCTGCCTGGTATAATACCACCACAATCACAACATCATGTAATGTTTGAATATCGTTCCACGGCTCAGCCACCAATAAATTCATCTAGTAGTGCAGATCGTTATAAATCTAGTTCAATAATTGGAAGTGGACAACCAAATAGCGGTATAAATGTCGGAAACAGTGGTGGAAACACTAATAACAGTGGTGTGTCGGCACAATATATACAACAAACAATAGTACAACCACCGTCACATTTACATCAAACTTCAGTACAATCTGCCAAACAAATTCATCCTTACAGGTAGAAAAATTTTTTTCCTTAGGTTTCTATATTTTATTTAAGTGTATGTGTTTTTTATCCTTTCCAGCACTTCCCCTTCAACGCAGCAACAACATAACAATCCTTCACCGAACAATAGTAGTAGTAATAAACCGAAAGTATCTTCACCAGCTCCGTCACATATTTATGGACAGCCGAACAGCGGACCGACAACTGGTAGTATAACTTCTGGTATACCAGTGTGTAGGCCACAAGACACACCAGTTCATCCAGTGGTTGCAAAATCAAGTTCACCTTCATCTCCATTTCAATCAAATATATATGGACCACCGGTTGGTCCGCCTAATCAAGTACCCTCAGCACCAGCGGCAGCACCACCGCCAGCACATTCATCACGTTCAATATACGATTCCCGTATGTATATGCCGCCAACAGGAAGTGTTAAGCAACCGTTGTCTATACATCACGGAACTCCCCCTCCAAGTTCAGTGACGGCTAATGCACCAATTCCAATATCAAGAGCATCGCATGGCAATCTTATAAAAATGAATCCACCTCCTCATCAAAATTTGATAAATCCTCCTGGTCACTTGCAACAACCAGTTGGCAGTTACCAAACTCAACCTTTGGATTTAGGATTGTCGGACCGTAATAGATCAGATGATAGTCAAAGTCCAAAAAGGAAGTCTTCAACGCCAATTCACCATCCATCAGGCAGTCCGGTCCCAATAGATGTTAAGAAAAAGAGAACTGAACCACCACCGCCACCACCACAGTCAATGCCTGTTTCGCATATGCCGCAACACTATCCTTCTTTACAACATCAACATCGTCAAACAATTAGCCCATTAGCCTTAAATATTTCTTCTATACCGAGTGGTACTCCACCACCTCATATTGGTTTGAATCACACACAACCACAGCATTCACATCTTCAACAGACACCGTCAATTCCATTGCCAACGCAAAGAGCAACTTCTTCACCTTTAACTGGTGGTGCTGTGACAACAATTCCAATCATTGCCAATAGTTCACCATCACCAAATAATTTAAGAATACCAAGGCCTGATGATGCAATTATAATTGGCAATAGCAATATAAATAATAACAATAACCTAATAAATAGCAGTAGTGTTAGTAATAATATTCATAGTAATAATCATAATACTAGTTATAACAATCCAATTGCTTTAACTGCTGTAAGTACAACTGCAACAGTTATTCCTTCTTCAACAACAATAATTACTAGTAACAGTAGTTACAATAATAATAATAGATCATCCCCAATTGTAAATAATATAATAAACTCAAGTCAACAGCGGCTGCCGCCACAATCGCTAATTGTTAATCAACAGCAAAATTCACAACAAATTTCAATGATATCACAGCAGCCACAGATTTCTCAGCATCAGCATCAACATCAACATCAACATCATCAGCATCCACATCAGATGCAAAGGCAAGAACAACAGCAACCGCAACAGCCTCAATTACAGCAACCACAATCACAACAGTCACCATTGCAACATCAACAGCTTCAACAGCATCATCATCAACAACAACAACCCCAATCGCAACAACAACATCAACATCAGCAACATCAACAGCAACCACAAATGCAACCTCAACAACAACAACAGTTTCCACAATCTCAGCAAATATCTAATTTAGTACCAATCCGAACCAGTTCAGGTGATGGTCAAGTGCGACCATCTAGTACAAATTCTAATTCAACAAATATAAGCCCATCGGCTAGCCCAGCTCTTAGTGTTCAAAGTGCCCCTGGTACACCGGCGAAACCGTCATCAGCATCAACAACGACAACGAATAGTAATAGTAATAATGTTAATAATAGTAGCTCCAACAATAATAATAATAGTAATAATAATATAAATAATAATAACAACAATAATAGTAATAATAATAATAACAACAATAATAATAATAGCACTAATATTAATACCAATAATATTAACAATAATAATAGTACTAATATCAATACCAACAATATTATTAATAATAATAACAATACCAATAGTAATATTATAAATAATGATAACAACAACAATAGCAATAGCAATGGTAACAATAACAATAACAACAATAACAATAATAGTTCAACACTATCTACAAGTGCATCCACTAACGCCACTTCAACAAATATTAGCGGTGGAGTTACTTCTGAATCCGAAAAATCTAATTTGAGTCCTGCTGTGAAAAAGAATAACACAATTGGATCTAGCGCGCCCCCAAGAAATTTGAAAAAAGCTTGGCTACAAAGACACACTGGTGAAGATTATGAAGATACCACAGGCGTAATTGGTAGTGGGACATGTGTAAAGCTACCGCTGACTATAAGTCCGCCACCAACCAATAACAGTACTACAGTGGAGAACAAATCAAATAATAATTCTAATAACAATAACAATAATAATTCTGCTCTCAATCAACAGCAAAAGGAGGGAACAAAACAAACGTTAAATTCGACAACACAACAAAATTCAAATATCACAAATAATAATAGTATTATTAGTAAAAATGGTAAGAATGGTATGTATTGTGTTTGTTAAAATAGTTTACATGTAAACATTACAAAAACTACAAAATAAAGCTCATTTTATGCATACTGACTGAGTTTTCGAAAGTACCCTAATACTGCTCTTATCATTATTTTGAAAATGCAAAGAAAAAAATTTTTGATTATTACTCTATGTTTTTGTAATGTACTCATATGTTGTATTATTTGTGTTTGCATGATTAGATTATAAAAATTGATTTTATTTTCAGCAACAAAACAACATCCGAAAAAGAACGCATCATCACGTGATAATAATGGAATAACTAATTCTGATTCAGATCGCAAAGATGAGTCGTCTAGTAGTGATCAAGTAAGAAATAATTATTAAATAAAAAATATGTTAGGAAAAAAAAATATAAAACAATTGTTTTAAACAGGAACAAACACTGAAACATCCTCCAAAAAGAAAGCCCATAAAGGGCAAGAAAAGAAAAGGTAGTGGAAGAAAACCATTGGAAGACAAAAAAAAAAAGGTGAGTTTAGATTTGATAGATAGTCAAATAATTATAGCTCAGTTCATACCAAATCGATTTCTAAGTACAAATATCTAGTTTTTATTATATTTCTAGTACAAATGATTTCTAGTACAAATATCTACAAAAAGAAAAAAGTAGTGATTAACATATAGTGATAGAAAATAGTGATTAACATAACTGATAATTTATTTTTTATATTAAATAAAATATTCTACTTACCTGAAAACAGACTCTATACCGAATTTATACTAATTAATTTTCAGTCTTATAAAAATTTTAAATTTTAGATATATGTACATACATATTCTAAATCACAAGTAGGTTTTTCGATCACATTTTTTGAAGGATATAAAGATTCAAATAGAAATTAAAAAACAATTTTTTTTAATAAATATGCATTATCTCAAATGTAAACACTTGTATTACGTTATAGCATGTACACACATTTATAAATATGCGTGTATAAATATGAGTATATATGTATATGTACTTGCGAATATTTAATTTAGTTTTCTTTACTGAAGAAAATGAAAAAAAAAACAATATAACAATAAACAACAAACAAAAAATTTAAAAAGCAAAAAAGACAAATAAGATTTGTTTCTACAATCCACAGAATGTTGTCCACAATAATGTTATACGTTATTTTATATAAAGCCAAAATTTTATTATGATCTATTTATTTATATAGAATTCACATGAATTTTCCTAAATAGAAAAATTAAATAAAATTTCTTAAAAATATGTACTGTTTCTGTTTGCATAAGAGTTCACATTTTCTTGTTTATATTATCTTTGCTAAGTTATTATATTTTATTTATTCTTGTTTTCATAATAGTGTTAGTAAATTTAATATGGCTGCCGGCTTAGGTAAACACAGCAAAAGCCATAAGTTATATTTGAATATCATACATTTATGCATGATTGTATTAAGATAATACACTAAAATCTAAACGCAACCAAATGTGTATGTGTTTACTTGAAAAACCGAGGTATGACAATGTGATGTGAACGACATTAATTTGTGTGTTTTCAATTTTTTGCAAATTTGGTTTTGTTTCCATTTCTCTTTGCAACTTTCTCTTTGTATTGCGCGGCAAAAAAAGTATGAAAATTGTATTCATATCTGCAATTTATGAAAACATAATTTCGTTTTTATTATCCTACTGTCAAATTAAAAATTTTCTCATTTTAATTAAGTTAGTAAATTTTAGCAGTTCAAGAACAATCATTTCTCCTTAACAAATCTATATTTGCATAAATAATTTTTCATATGAACAATAACAATATACGAGTTTAAATTTGTATGTATATTGACTCTTTGAAGCATGTAACATGTGAATGTAGTACTCGCAAGAAACATGATTGAAATAATGAATAAAATTAATCAATGATAAAAAATAAAGAAGAATGAGTTCCATTCTCAAAACATACACTACATACATTACAATATAACACAATCTCTATTATATTTGTAGCGTAATTTTCTGTTTTTTGCAGTTTGTGGTATAACTTTTTTAATGTAGATATGTAGTTATAGATATGCAAATAAAAAATAAAGCTAAGATACAATGTTTTTACAGTTGTATGGTGAACATGTAAATGTATCTTATTAAAAAAAATTATAACCACAAACATCGCAATAATATTAATGTGACTATAAACATCCGCAAATTTGGGGTAGGTTTAAATTTTTACGCCACAACGTTATTGCATTGCGAAATGTTTACAATGATATGATACATTCTTGTTTTTCTGTTATGTGCTATCAATCATCATACATAAAATATATAACATTTAGAAAGAATGCCATAATACTACTATATCATTATAATTTATAATTTTATATTGTATAGATAAAAGATTTAGAAAAGATAATCCGCAAATTCTTTAACGTCAAAATTTTGATTTTAGTCTGCAAACTGTCTGAAACTAAAACTTTTACGGACAGAAATCTAGTAAACTTTTTACCCGTAATTGACTTTGAATTTTGATCATCCGTAAACGTCAAAACAAAAAAAAATTTTTTTTTAGATTTAAAATAAATTTATACTTACATATTAAAAATTAACAATAAAAATATTTTTTATATTATTTTTAACGTAATGATAGTCACTCAACACATCAAATTTATTTACTGAATTACTACGTCAGACTGTTTGCATGTAAAAAAAAAAATCTACAATTTTGACGATTAATTGACTTTTTTTAAACGTTTAAGAATTTAAACTTTGACTGAGAGTAAAAACATAGTAGAGTATCCGTAAACTCAGACAACTCAGATTTTGTAAAATTTGACGTTTAAGAATTTACCAAATATGTACCTATGCGAGTTGTGATTTCAATTCCATAAATACTTACATTTCATAACATAAATACGTACACATATCTACATATATATATAAATATTATGATAAGCTCACTACAGTTTTCAAAGCTGGTATTTACTGAAATTGAAAATTATTCTTTTTCTACATACTTTGTGGTTTTTTCGAAGGAATCAATTTAATATTATTATTATATTTACATATTACTTTATTATTCTTATTAAAATACATATGTACATATATGTTATGTTGTTTATGCTAACATATATGTTATGTTAGCATAAGGTTATATATGTATGTATGTATTTTGACGTTAAATACATGCATGATGTGTATGAAATGAGTGTCTGGCACTGTATTTCATTTCTACTTAAACTTTCACTATTCATTATTAAACAATATAGATAAATAAAGATCGTAATGTTTGTGTTTCTAGGGGAATCGCAAATCGCAACTTCTCGGCTACATATGTTTTCTAGTTATATTATGTTGTTTTGTTTTGCATTATATTTTAGCTCTCTCTTAATTTATTCTCATTTGTAGTGTAGCTATCATTGCGTCGCGACGCAGCTGCTATAATAATGTTATGCCGTTCCGTTCTTATTTATTATTTGAATATCTTGGCTTCAGTTTTATTTCAGTGTTTGGCGTTTCACAATTAAAATAAATTTATGGCGTACAATAAGTCGGCGTGAAAATTTAGTACCTTTTTTTGTTTTTTTTTTAAAGAGAGAAAAAGTAAAATATATTTTGAATAAAAAGGAAAAACATTCTATAGTTTATATTATACGAATAAATTTAAATTAAAATTAGTGAAAATAATTTGTAAAAATTATATAACTTTGCAAGTTTTACAAAAAAAGCGAAAAAATAAAATCATAAAACTTTAAACAAAATGGAAGACATTGAGTCACAAACTCAGACACAAACTGTGGATGAAAAAGTAGTTGGCTATATGATTATTGTTTTTTCTTTTTTTAATTTTGTTTGTATATTAAGAGAAAATATTGATTTTTCATTTTCTATTTGACGAATACTGTACTAATGCTACTTTTTGAATTTAAGAAGCGTAGTTATAAAATTCAATTACAATTTTTTTTTTTTTTTTGTGTTTAATATAGAATATTCCAGCCGTAAGTGAGAGTGACAAAGAAAGCGATAGCGACAAAGAAACTATTTCAGACAAAGATAGTGACAGTGGTACTAGTGGAACATCAACTTCAACCGCCGGACTTAAAAAATTAAATGCGTCTACAAATTCAAATAATTCAAATGGTAGTGCCAATATTTCAGCCCCTAAAGAAATTAAAGAACCTAGAAAAAGGGGTAGACGGCCAAAAGTTAAAGAAGAGCCAATGTAAGTTTTTTTTTTTTAAATTTTATTTTTGACGGTCATGTTTATTATTTTTTTTAAATGTATATTAATGTTTTTAGTAAAAAGAAACAGCGTGCGGAAGCTGATGAAGATAAAACAAAAGATCCATTTCGTAAGCCACCCGTGTCTCAACTAAAAAAAACTGGTGAGTCCTTTCTCCAAGATGGACCTTGTTTTGAAGTAGCTCCTAAACTAGCAAAATGTCGCGAGTGTCGCTGGACACCTAATCAAAGATCTAAGAGCATTTCAAATATTTTTTGTCGTTTCTACGCTTTCCGAAGATTAAGGTACTTATTCATTGCTTTGTTTAAATAACCGTTTTTACATTTCACAAAAATTTGATAACTAAAGTTAATAATATTTTTACAGATATACTAAAAACGGAGTATTAACGCTTGCTGGATTTTCCGATCCTTTTAAAGATCCTAGTGAAGAAGATATTAAATTATGGATGCCAGATCATCAAAACCCACCTTCAGATTTAGACTTACATATGTCAAGATTTTTGTTGTCTTTAGTTGGGGATCAGTTTTGTGATTTGTTGCAACAAGAAAGAGAGGCTATGGCTGAGCATATGTCTGAAGGTATTTATATTTTTCTTATTTTCGAAATATGTGTATAATAAATTCTGTTTAAACTAGATAAAACAATTGCCTGGAAACGAGTAGTACAAGGAGTCAGGGAAATGTGTGACGTTTGCGAGACTACACTTTTTAATTATCATTGGGCTTGTGGAAAATGCGGTTTTGTTGTTTGTTTAGATTGCTATAAGGTATTTAATTATTATCATGAAATTATATAATTATATGAAAGAAATGAGTTAGAACGATGGAAATTAAAAACAAAATTTTTTCTTAGGATCGTAAAAGAAAGTCAACCAAAATATGGGGCGAAAAAGGTGGTAAAGATCGCGATGAATATTCATGGTTACTGTGCACAAATCGTGCCATACATGAGCAAGATCGTCTAATTTTGACACAAATAATTGCTGGGGACTCCTTAAAAATATTAGGACAACGTGTTCACGAAGCGCGTGCCCTATGGCAAATCACACAACATTGTGGATGTCCATTAAGTAAGGAATCTCCATCAAAAGTACCAAATGGTATAGTTTTTAAGGATTTGGTACGTACACTACTTAAAAGTGAACAAAATGGTATCAAGCAAGAACTTAAATTGGAACTTGAAGATATGGTAAATGGAACAACATCATCAGCACTAGCTGCATCTAGTACAAAAAATGCGTCAAATACGTCGAGTACTCCAGTGAAATCGGGTAAAGACGAGAAAGAAGATAGTAAATCAGCGTTGTCTTGGTTGGCTGAAGTAGCACTAGGAGAAGGTAAAAAGAATGGAAAAAAAGGGTCTGCCGCCAATGCTGGTAACGTGAAAACAGTTGTTAAAGAAGAAAACTCTGATTCAGACGATAGTTCTGAAGATGGACCATCAACACTTAGAGAATTATTAAAATGTCCAGCAAATGTGAGCAAAGTTGGGGGTGAAACTGGCAGTCGTCCTTCAAGTCCCACTAATGATAATACAACAAAAATAAAAACAGAAAATACTGATGAGATTGATAACCAAGGAACTTCTCACTTAAATGTTAGTCCCACATCTAGTGGATCCAAAAACTCATCACCAACTTCAGTTGTTGCACAAACCACTAGTTTAAAAAAACAACGAATTTTTCTACCAATTCGCATTATGACATTGACTGAATCAAAAAAGTTGTATCCCAGCGTACCACATTCTTGGTTGTGTGATGGTAGATTGTTAAGATTGTTAGATCCATCAAATCGTGGTAATTTCGAAATATTCCAAGAACAATGGAAACGTGGTCAACCAGTTTTAGTATCCGATGTTGCTAAAAATTTAAATATGGATTTGTGGAGACCAGAATCGTTTTCTCGTGATTTTGGTGAACAAAAGAACGATCTCATTAATTGTATGACTGGCAATTTAGTTCCTGGACAACCAATGAAAAAATTCTGGGATGGTTTCGAGTACGTTAATAAACGTTTAAGAGATGATAAAGGTAAAAATTTTATTTGAAAATATAAATTATATAAACTATATTAATTGTACAATTTTAGGTATGCCAATGCTTTTAAAACTTAAAGATTGGCCACCAGGAGAAGATTTTGCAGAAATTTTACCAACTAGGTTTAATGATCTCATGAAAGCCTTACCGCTAGGCGATTATACACATCGAAATGGACGTTTGAATTTAGCTAGTCGTTTGCCAGATTGCTTTGTTCGTCCAGATCTTGGTCCGAAAATGTATAATGCATATGGTTCAGCACTATATCCATCAAAAGGTACTACAAACTTACATTTGGATATATCAGATGCTGTTAACGTTATGGTATATGTTGGTATACCAAAAGATGGACAAGATGATGAACATATTAAGGAAGCATTCAGGGCTATTGACGAGGCTGGTTGTGACATACTGACCAGGCGCAGAGTAAGAGAAAAGCATGAATTACCTGGTGCCTTATGGCACATATATGCCGCACGTGATGCTGATAAAATACGTGATTTGTTGAATAAAGTTGCAATTGAGAAAGGGTATCGTGTAGAGGATCATCATGATCCAATTCATGATCAAACATGGTACTTGGATGGAACATTACGTGAACGATTATATAAAGAATACGGTGTGGAAGGCTATCCAATCGCCCAATGTTTAGGTGATGCTGTTTTTGTACCAGCTGGGGCACCACATCAAGTCCGCAATTTACATAATTGCATTAAAGTTGCTGAAGATTTTGTATCACCAGAAAATGTCTCACATTGTTTCCATTTAACACAAGAATTTCGCGAATTATCTGATTCACATTCCAACCATGAAGATAAATTACAAATCAAAAATATTATTTATCACGCCGTTAAAGATTCTTTAGCGTGTTTGTCCTATTTATTAGGACAAAAATTATCTGAACGTACAGACATGGGTGATTATAAAAGTTTTATTGGCAATGATGATGATTTAATAAAAAAAGAAATTAAACAAGAAGTTAAAACAGAGAAAGATAACGTGTGATCAAATTTAATTAAAATGGACAAAAAACATAAGAAAGATCAAAAATAATTTTTTTTTTGCATACTCTAAGAACATGTTCGTTAAAATGTTTATGAGGATATACATATTTTGTAAAATAGTATGACAATTTCGTTTATAAAAAGGTCATTCGTAAATAATATTTTTTAAGATTCGAAATTAAGCTACTTTATATTGAAAAAGTTAAATTTATTATATACTAATTTCAATGTTTTATTTATTTTTTCATATTGGTTATATTTTAGAAACCATATTTATAAATAAATTTTGGAAAAAAATAATTTTAACTGTACCGTACATAAATACGTACATAAATGTGTAATATAATAAATATTTTTTAATTTATTTTTATTATTGAACTTAGTTCAAAGAAATTGTGTATAATTTAAAGAAGAAAAGAAAGAAAAAATGCACGAAAAAAATTTTTGTAGCTTAATTTCAAGTGCTGTTTCTTTATAATAGATTTGTAAATTATAATTTATTTAACAATAAAGAAAAAAGTATTTTACATTATTATTTTTAAACAACAGTCAAAATAAATTTAATTTCAATAAAAAAAAGTTAAGTTCCGACTCAGTTATAATTTTTTTTTTGTAATAAATTTAAAAAAAAAAACAAAGAGGGTCAAATTGTATAATTGTAGGGTTGGTATAGGTTAAAAATATTTGCCACGAGTAAAGTAAATTCGCTATTTGTTAAGAAGATTTCTAACACACGGTTTTTACACGGTGTTTTTTTTTTGTTTGTTTTAGTATTTCGATATTAAATAATTTAAAACGTAAGTTGCAACAAAAAAAACTGTTTACAGCTCAACAAAAAGTGACAATACAAATTTTCAATAATCAATTTTTTTTAAATAAAAATACAAAATTATATTACAATTTATAATTTCTTACATACTTGTCCATACATATGTTTATACATACATAAATATTTAAACATATATATTGCATAATACATTATTTTCTAATGACCTTCAAAAGCGACTAACTTAATATAAATTATGAGTAAAATAAATATGAATTTTTTTAGAAATTCCTTTTAAATTTAATAATATTATAAAATATTTTTTATTTAAATATCATATGCGTAACTATTATGATTGTTAGAGTCCTAATAGATTTATTATTTATTAGTTCAAGCTAAAATGTAAATTAAAAGTTTTGGATTTGATTAAGTTTATTTTACTATAATATTATTAATTATTATAAATTAACAATATTGCTGAAATGTAAACAAAATAGGTAGGCTGTATTTCTACGAAAACAGAATAAAAAAGATAATTATAATAAAAAGAAAAAATGCAAATAAGTAAAAAAGTAAATAAACTTTTAAATTAAGAATGTGTATCAAAATATGATGAAAAATATTATGTAAAAAAAAATATAAAATTAATAAAACCTATCTGTCATGTGATTTTAGAACGAAACTAAAAAAGTAAAATAAAAAAAATGATAGATTAAATTAAATTCTTAAACAAAAACTATATAAAAAAAACAATTTTTTATTAATATTATTTTTTTTTTTTTTGTAACGTTAAAAATAAAAATAAATCTATCTAATTAATTATTTAAAAGGAAGAAAAGTTGTGAATAATAAAATGCAACACTAAAACATTTTTTTGTGTAATTATCTTCAAAAGTATATACATACAAACAAATGCATATACATACATATAGATATATTATATTTAGCCACAAAACATAATTTTTTAATCAGAAATTTAAACTATAATATATTATATATTTTTTAATATAAGCACACACATTAAAATTTATGACATGTTTTTTAATTTTTTAATTTTAAATCTATTTTTTTTAATCAATTTCAAATACATGGAGACAAAATGTAACATATTTAAATAAAATAATATAGAAAAAAAATAAAAGTAAATAAAAACAAAAAAAAAAAAATATAAAAAAACTTTTTATCATATTAAAAATTATATAAAATATAAGGTAAAAAATTAATTTTTAAGGCTTAAAAATATATACATATATATTATATATACTTTAAAACTAATAATTCAAAAAAAATAAAACAAAAAAAGAAAATCCATAAGTACGTTTATGTGTATAAATATATATACATTTATATATATATCATACAAATATATATATATATATAAATATATGTATATATACATTAATATACATATATATATATATATATATATATATATATATAATATGTATATATATATAAAATATACGTATAAATAAAGTATAGATACATCAAAATAATTTTTAGATTAAGACTATATAGTTAAAGAATAAGTAATTATAATTAATTTTTGTTTTATTGTATGCAATTAAAGAAAAAAAAAATTTGAAAAAAAAATTTACTAAAAACAATTAAATTTTTTTAGATTTAAAATAAAGAAAAAACTGAATAATTAAAATTTTAGAATAAGATACAAATAACAATATATTATTAAATAAAATGAAAACTTTAATTATATATATACATATTTGTGTATATAAATATATAATTCTATAAAAAAAAGCTAGTAATTATAAAATTTAAAATGCTAAAAACAAAAAATTAAAAAAAAAAAAACAAAAAACAAAACAAAAGTAAGAAAATTATACAAAAAACTCAAATCAGATGTTTTACAAAAAGAAAAAAAATTAAACAAAAACAAATTTAAATGAAAAAAATCACAAAAAAAAAAAAACAAAAAATAAAAATAATTTAAAAAATATTGTGTTTTTGTTTTAAAATTTAGGAATGGATGTTTTTTTTAGGAAGGAGAACTTATCAACAATTTAAATATTATACACATGTTTCACTCGAAATTTATTAAGATATGGAATACGAAGCAGATTTCGAGAATCAAGTTAACGCAGTTACAAAAACAAAAATGTTTTTCAAAATTTCTCAAAAAAATTTTTTTCTGTCTTAACAAAATGCATTACAAACCATAACTACGATGAACTACTTTTCTAAAATGCGTCCTAAAAAAAGAGAATTTTCGATAATTCAGACATGTACGAACCTAATTAAGCTAAATCTAAAAACACAGTGTCATCAGCAGGGACTAATTAATTTTTATTTTCATATTTGTAAGATTTAACACTTTGTTATATTTGACTTAAAATATTTGAATTATTTGTGCAGTATGTATTTATTTAAATTTTTTTGAACTTTAAGCATGCTGCGATTTTCGAATGTACATACTTTTTGTACATATAAATAATTATCGAACATGCTACATTTTAAGACATTTTTTGCTTTATCATAAAATTTTCAAATATTTTCGGGAAAAAATCACATCAAAAAATTACACCTATTTGGAGTGGCACAAACATCGTTGATTGTTACATTTTAACTTATTCAAAAAAAAAAAAGGGTTGATCAATTAACTTTTGAAATATCCTCGTATAGTTCTTATTAGGAATGGTTCACTGTATACGAGTACGAATATCAAAAACACCATAAAAATAGTTATGGAATTTAAATTTGAATGTGAATGATCTAAAGCAATTTAAGAAGAAAGTTTAATAAAAAAAAATTATAAATGTATTTTTTTCTTTTGTTTTTATGATGCTCGTATTAAAAAGTTTCCAGTACATACATATGTATTTAATATATATAAAAATAATTGTATTGATGATCTCAACTTAAATTAAATAATGTACGCTTTAGATATGCAAAATAAATTTAAAACTTCTTAGTTTTATATTTTCACTACAATTCAAAAGAAGTGTACTTGTGAATGAAGTGAAGGAATGAAATTAAAATAGTAATTGCAAGTTAGAATAGATTTTTTTATGAGTAAATATTAATAATATGATAACACAGAGATCAATGGTTTGATATATACTAAAATTAAAATAGAGTGTGACAATGGCATAAAATTTCTATTTGTGACTGAACTTTATTTAGAATTCTAATAAAATTTTATTTAGAATTCGTGAGAGAACCTATAAGATTTGGATATGAGAAATAATCTCAATTATTTTGTTGAAGAAACTTTTTTGCATTAAACATATTTTGGTGTACACATCTTTGGTAAATTAATGGAATATTATTTGTTTTTAACAATAATCATTCGCAACGTATTGTAAGTTTCTTAGATAAAAAGAAATCCAATTGCACCATTATGTTATTGTAAAATATTTATTGCTATTGCTAAAACACTAAATATCAAAAATACATTTTTGAACAGTAGACAATTCCATAGTAGAATTCCATAGTAGACAAAAATAGAAGAGGGCGATTATTCGATAAATTTTTTCCAATTATTATAAACTTGGAGTTAAAGACAAATTAAGACAAATCTACTCAAATCTTGCATAATTTCATCACTGTGTACCTAATGATAAATGAAATAATGATAAATAAATATGCAATTAATTATTTTATAAACTTTTATTATTTATTATGCTAAAATTAGGTAGGTAATTGTGTATCTAAATTATCTAGAACCATTACAATATCATTATCTAACCATCTGAATATGTAATATTTTTCTATTTTTTTCAATATTATATAAAGTTCTTTATTGCTAGTTGAAACGCTTCAATAATAATATACTGCCCAATTAGATTGATCACTGAATTATTATAGACAGTATTTTATAGTTGAAATTATATTATGTAATGCTTATCCTTACATACATAATAACATTGTATTTTTTTATTTATCAATGTTCTAAAATCTAAATCAAAAAATTAAATAATAATCTGATATTAAGTTTGTTTTTTTTTTAAGAAAAATCGTTTAATAAGAATATTTTTATTAAAAGTTCGACCTAGATGGGTGCTCACGTATTTAAAATGTACATATTGTGTATGTGTATGTATGTATCTTAGGTAATAAATGATCATCTCTAAATATATTTTTATAGTTAACTAAAAAAGCTTTTTGAAAATAATTTCAAAAAAAAAAAAAAATCTTGATTTTTTATATAACAAATACTACCGACACTCTAAAATTACAAATAAAAAATTTTACAAAACAAAAATGCAATCTACGCTTTTATAAAAATTGAAAATCTTTTAAGATTGTGATGCAATCCATATTAATTATAAGTACGCTTTGTATTTACTTTGATTTTTTTTTGTATGCATATCCAAAAACAGAAATATCAACTTCTCCAAGCTCAAACAATTGAATTGAAATCAATTTTTAAAAACAATAGAAATTTAAAAATTACAAAATTGAAAATTAATTCTTGATTTTCATTTCAGTTTGCAAGTTTACATGGTGTGCAAGAGTTTTTCCAAATTTGTTCTTCTAAATTTCGAATTTATGTTTTAATTAAAAGTACATGTACAGGTGTATTATAAATTTTAGACAAATAGTAAATTTTATTATTGCTGAAAGTGAATTTGGGTATATTCTCTAATAAAATCAAAAAAAAAATATTTTAATAATAAATTCAAGTAAGTTACATATGATTTAAGAATCAATAAAAAATAAAGTTCATGAAGTTTTTTAATTTTAAATTTCTTTGTGTTTCGAATATTTACATATGTACATATGTATGTATATGATTATTTTTTGGCTGAATTTTTTATCCAATTCCAAATATTCTAAAATATTCCATTTTTCAAAGGAAGAAATTTAAAATTTTGATCGGATAAGCATAATATTGCAAAAAATTTTTAAATATTTTAAGGTCAAACTTCTACATTACAGACTTCCATACGTACATATGTACATATGTATGTATGTATGTCAATATAAAAAATATGTGCATATGTACATATGCACACACATTATAACAATATTATTTTCTTACAGGATCAAACTTGAAAACAAAAAAACGATGATGAAATTTAAATCATTTTTAGAGCAATTAGAAGAAAAATTTTCATCCAATTCGCAAAATTCTTTGCAATATGGTAATTATACGCAAAATACATAATATGTATACTGCAATTTTAAATAATTATACATACGTTTTTTTTTCTTTGAATTTTTGAATAGATCCAAATGGTTTTCTATCAACAAATCGATTTTATAATAACAGATTTGAATCACAAATACAAAATCGTTCTATACGACAAATTGAAGAGCAAATGTCTAGTTTACGAAAAGAAAATTTTAATTTAAAATTAAGAATATATTTTCTTGAAGAGAAAATTCCAGAATTAAATAAAATGGATTTAGCAGAAGGAGAAGAATCTTTAATGAAACAGTTTTTAGATAATAAGGTAATAAGAAATGGAATCGGCTTTAGAATAAGATTGTTCTAAATTTATTCACATGGCCATTATGGGAAAGTTTTTTAAGTTAAAATTAAAAATGTCAAATAAGTAAATCAATTTTTTTTTTAACCGAAGCCAAGTTTGTAGAATGCTTACTAAAATTTTGGGGTCCTTTGATTGCTATAGAAAATTAGGACTCAAAATTCGAGATATGTATTTAATTTTTTTCTTAAATTTATTCAAATTTTCAAAGTCATAATATGATTTCAATTCTTTTCTCACTTTCATTCGACCACCATAGGTGATAGATCCTGTGTGATAGATTTAAAAAGAAAATATTTAAATTGGGCGAAGTTGTATTTAGCATACTATACATGTTTACATTGGTCGGCAAATGAATTTATTATTGCATTAATTTTAAATTTATTCAAAACCAAAAATCTTCGCTTGCATGAATTCCTCATAATTTTTTTTTTAAATAATTTTTTCTTTTTTAAATCTATTTAATTATAAAGACTCGTGTCTAGAATCGTATACCAATACTTATATTTTAAAGATTCTTAATTTGTGTCTTAATTAACATTTGGAGTAAATGAAAGTTTGTTTTCGAACAAATATTTTAATTAAAACGAAAATAATTTTAGAACAAATGAGTTTTTATTTATTTTTTACTCACTTTAATAAAAAATTACAATAAAATAAATATAAAATATATTTATTTTATTCTAAAGATTGAAACCGAAATGTTAAAGATTGATCTTCAAGACAAACAACAATTATTAATCGAAGCTGGTGAAGCTTTAACTCATATGGAAAATATACAAAAGGATACTGAAAAAAGATATGAACAATTAATTGATGAATTGAATCATAAAATACAATATTTGGAATTTGAAAAATATTCATTAGAGAAATGTTCAAAAAATGAAGAAAATATTATAAATGAATTAATTGACAAACATAACATTGATGGTAACAAAATAGATATAGTAAAAAAGGTACAATATACATACATAATAATATATAGTATTTATAGAACTACTTGTTACACTACATATTTAACTAGCCAAAAATTTTAAAATTATTTTATTTGTAGGTGCGCGAACTTAAAGAATCTGTTAAAGATGCAGAAACAAAAATTACAAATTTAAATAAACAAAATATAAATTTAGAACAAATTGTATTAGAAAAAAATAAATTAATAAATCAATATGAGGAAAGCATAAAACAGAATGATTTCCAGCAAAAACAATTAATTGAACAATTAAAATTAAAAGAAGAATGTTTAACTAACATAGAAGTAAGCAAATAATATTACTTTTCATATATTACGTAAAAGCATTAAATATGGGATTAAAGTTCTCAGAAATTGTGCAATTATTGAAGTTCTCAGAAAATTAGTTTTAGCATATTTGCAATAGAAGACAACAAACCAGTATATGATGAATTTTTGCGAATTTAGAGCACTATATAATATTAAAATTTAGAACACTATATGCCTAAATTCTATTGAACACATTTATTACTTAAGGTGTTGGAATGTTATTCAAAAATATTGAGATTTTGTGGTATAGAATTTCAAATGGAAATTCGAAATTGGTTTTATTCAGAAAATTTAATAATATTTTCAATAGTATTCGCAAGACAATGTAGCTGATTAGCACGCACTTTTTCGATATATGGCTACAAATAATATTTTCGGAAAGATGGATTTTAATTTTTGTTTTTGTTTTATGCCGTTTTCCATTAAAAACTTTAATTCAATTATTCAAATGCTAGTAATAGGTTGAGTTGAGCTGGCGTTGATTTTTTTTTATTGCTTCGTGAAAGCTAGTTTATTAAAACTATTACTTATATGTATTAAAAATACTAAAAAAAATAATTGTTTTATTAAATATTAATTTTTCATAAATTCAATTTCATTAATTAATAATAAGTATAAAGGAAGCACACAATCAAAATAATTCTTTTGTTTTTTTTTTTTTTTTTGTAAAGAAAAAATTAGATGAAAAAGAAAATGTATTAAATGAATTGAGAAAGGAAGAAAATAAAATATCAAAATTAAAAGAAATTGTAGAAAAATTAAAAATTGAAAATAATCAATTAAAGAAGAACATTGAAATTAAAAATAGCGTAGCAGAAAACAGTTCAGATATTATTAAAGAACAAGAAAATCTTGTTAAAAGGATAAAAGCAAGTATTTTAATTTTTATATTGAACTCTTTGGATTTACATTTGCACACATGCACATCTATGTATATAGGGATTTCAAATTTTTGATAATAAAACAAAATATTTATTAAATGCCATATATCCTAATATGTAATATACAAAATACAGATATTTATACAATTAACTGTTTTATAATTGTTTTTATTAAATTTTAATTAATTTAAATAATTTTATTTTACAATTTTAGTTGATAAGTGAAAATCAAAAAGAAACAATATTGAATTTATCAAAACAAATAGAAAATTCAAAGATGAATTTCTTTAATGATCGAAAAGAACTTAATATACTAAATGGAAACTATCATTTAAATAATTTAATTTCAATCTTCCAAAATCCATTTAATATAAAATATCATTTAAGAAATTTATCAAGAAATGAATGTCTTTCAAAATCATTAGGATTAAACCGATCACTTACAAGCTATGATAAAATTAATATTAAAACTGAGATGAAGAATTCAAAATTTTTTGCAGATTATAAATTAAAAGAAAAAGTCAGTGTATATTTTAATAATTATGATAATAAATTTGAAAAGAAATTTACGAATTGTAAAATAATAATACAAAGTAATGACTTGAAAAATAATTTTAAAAGATATTCAACAATTTCTCGTGTCCAATATTCAAAATTTGTAAAATTTCACAAATCAAAAAGTGAGTCAAATTTAACAGAATTTTTTCAAAATTGCAATAAACAAAATGATTCCCATCCAACTTTAAATAATAATAATAATAATATGGAAAATATTAATGAAAATAATGACCAAAAAAATGAAAAATTTATAGATCGAGAATGTTTAAGAAAAAATTTCATTGCCGAATTGAAGGTAAACTTTTCTAATACTTGTTTTTTCTTACCATCTTTAATAATGGGATTATTATTTGGTATTTTTTTTTCCGTAATGAGTGATAAAGATGATTAATAAAATTGTTGATTGAATTTTGTTTTGAATTCCAAAATAAATTATATAAAATAATAAAGACTTTAATTTTCTGAATTTATGTACTTAAGTAAAAGAACATGAGTAAGTACCACATGCATTATGCAATCCTGTTCGTGGATAACATCTCTTTATTTGTCAAAAATGATACTAAACTTGCTTGTCAACACCTTATTTACGTTATAAATTATAAACCAAATTATTAATTTGTGAAATCAACAAAGAGTGAGCGTCTTGTCACAATAATAAAAGAAATTTATGTAAATAGCAAATAATAATTTCGAATTCTATAAAAATATTATTATGATCTTCTTTGCCTGCAATATGGTTTTAAAAATTTACATAACAATCTAAAATAATCTCTATTTTTTATATTTTAATTTATGAAATTATCTAGGAACATTGACTATGAAATGGTTTACTCAGTGTAAGAATATATTTTATATACATATGCAAGCAACTGTTATACAAAATAAAACAATATGAAGGTTATTTATATGCTTATCAATTAATATACAAAACTAAATAATAAATATAATTATGTACACTATAAAGCACTTTTAAAATAAAATTAAAAATTCAAATGATATTTACATGTGTATGTATGTATGTATATATATAATCTATGTTAATGAATATATTTTTTGTATGAAGTTATTTCTAAAAAAAATAAAATTTAAAATAATTAATTGTTAAAACTAATTAACGAAACCGTTTATCTTAGAATTTATTTAATTGAACTTATGTAAAAGATAAAGCAACCTGTAAACAAATATATTATGTTGATTAAAAATATATATTTAAATTAACAAAAAAATGGGTTTCTTGAGACAACTAACGACAGCCCGCAAACAATTTTTGATAATTTTTGAAAACTTTTTTTAGAGATAGGTATAACAAGTTTTTAAATCAATTACAATATGTATGCATATTATGTAAATGGGCAGAACCTTGATCATATTTCTGGAATTTGGACAAGGCGCTTGTTGAATATCTTGTCTAAACGCATCTTTATTGACATTAAAATTACATATGCATGTGTATTGTCAAAATTTTCTATGCTATTGACAGTTGCCATAAAAATTTATTAAAAATTGACAACGAATTTTCATTTTTGTTTTTAACATTATTATCATTTGATTTTGTAGGATATAGGTCATATTGGTCACCATTTATAATGTTACTAAACGTATTTTTAAGATTAAATAAAATCCACGTTAGGAAAAAATCAATACTTGCTTCATGTTTAAAATATAAGCAATTCGGTGAACCGGCAGAAGTATTAGAAATACAACAGGAAGAAGTTACCGATCCGGTAAATGATGAGGTATTGGTAAATATAATTGCTTCTCCAATAAATCCAGCGGATATAAATACAATCCAAGGTATGAAAATATTCTTCACTATGAAATTTTATTATAGTAAAATTTTTTAGGGAAATATCCTGTAAAACCACAATTTCCTGCAGTCGGTGGTAACGAGTGTGTTGCAGAAGTAGCTGCTATCGGGCCAAACGTGACAAAATTTAAAATATCTGATAGAGTTATACCTTTTGCGACAGGATTAGGGACTTGGAGAACGCACGCAAAATTTACTGAGAAAAATCTGCTGAAAATACCGAAAAATATCGATATAGCTAGTGCAGCTACTATTACAGTTAACCCATGTACGGCATACAGGATGCTTAAAGATTTTCGAGATTTAAAAGCCGATGACGTAATAATACAAAATGGAGCAAACAGTGGAGTTGGTCAGGCAGTTCATCAACTTTGTAATGCTTGGGGAATTAAATCAGTCGGAGTTGTAAGAGATCGTCCGGATGTTGAAAATTTAAAACGCTATTTAAAAGATATTGGAGCAACAGAAGTTTTAACTGAAGAAGAACTTCGAAAAACTGATATTTTTAAGAATGTATTGAAAAAACCAAAATTAGGGTTCAATTGTGTTGGGGGGAAAAGTGCGACGGAAGTTATTAGACATTTAGCGAATAAAGCAACTTTGGTTACCTACGGTGGGATGTCGAGAGAACCACTCACAGTTTCAACAGCTACTCTTATTTTTAAGGATATATCTTTTTATGGATTTTGGATGACAAGATGGAGTGAAGAAAATTTTGATAATCCGAAGAGAAAGGAAATGTTAAACGAAATTTGTAATTTACTTGAATTGAAAAAAATTAAAGCACCGATTCATCAAATAATTCCTTTAAAAGAATTCAAAACGGCAATGAGTGAAGCAATGGCGTTTAAAGGTTTCACAGGAAAAAAGTTTATATTAAGTTTTTCTGATAAGTAGTAAAAAAATATATATATAGTTAAATTTATTTTGGCATTTACTTCGTCTTTATTATTTGATTTCGCAACATCCATATAGTTCGTTCCATTCCAAGTATTGCTTTAAATCGTTTATTGAAACACTTGGTTTAATTTTCTTTACCGAGTCTTTGAAATCACTTAAAAAAACAGGTCGCACGTTATTTTTGTCGAAATATGACATCTCCTCTACAGGGATAGAACGTAAAGGTTTCATGCATGCCTCTTGACATAACGAAGCAATATCAGCTCCTGAATAATTTTCAGTAATTGCACCAATTAGCGCAAAATCTGAATTAGAAAGGACGTGTTTTACATTTTTTAAAAGATTTTCTATTATTTGAATACGGGCTTTTACATCTGGTAATGGGATATATAATCTTCTAACGAAACGTCTACGAGCAGCATCGTCTAACTCTTGAGGGCGATTTGTAGCTCCAATTATCAATACAAGGTCATCTTTGGAAGTTGATGTGCCATCTAACTGGACAAGAAACTCAGTTTTAAGTCTTCTCGAGCTTTCATGTTCTGATTCAGTTCTCTTACATAATAAGGAATCAATTTCGTCAATAAAAATTACTGAGGGTTGATTAACAGTTGCAACGGCAAATAAAGCACGAACCATTTTCTCACCATCTCCAATCCATTTAGATGTAAGCGAGGAGGCACTTATACTATAAAATTTTGACTTGGACTCAGAGGCGATGCATTTTCCAATTAATGTTTTCCCTGTTCCTGGGGGCCCAAAAAACAAGATACCTTTAGGTGGACGCCTTATTCCGGTAAAAATATCAGGTCTTAATATAGGCCAAATTATAGATTCCTTTATTACAGATTTAGCATCCTCCAAACCAGCAATGTCATCCCAAGTAATGTGTTCTAAATTGTTAATAACTTCGTTATTTATAATCTCTATCATTTTTGGATCAATATTAATTAGTCGATCATCTAACACTTCATTTTTAGTTGCCTCAAAGGAAATTTCGTTTTTCTCAATATTTTTAAAATTTTTTTGAACCGGAGATACAAATTCAGATCGAGCAGTTCTTCTTGTTCCAAGAGTTTTCTTGATATTTCCGGAGTAAACTTCTTGACCAGAGTTACGATTTTTGTAAGATTGCAACAATAACTCTTCGCGAGCACTTTTAAAAACTGAAGTAGGCAATTTTTTGTCATCATCGGAACTTTTGACTAGGTTTTGTAATACTTTTTTCTGTTGAAAAATCTTCGGTTGATCAAAACTTTTACTTGATTCTCTTGAACTTTTTTCTGTATCCTGAATTTTCCAAATTTTTTCTGATACATTGTTTTCTTTTACCTTTACTTCTAAATTCTTGATCTTAAGTTCGCTATCCTGACAGGCATTAGTATGTATAGGATTGGAAAATATATTCTCCACATCAATTTCAGTTATATTAGATAAAGGACAGATCTTTTCTTTGTTACATTTGGATAATATTCTATTTTTATAGTTTCTGCTGTCCAAACTGCTATTCCAAGAAGTCATGTCTTTAAGTTCTCCATATTTTTTTAAATTTTGAGAAATTAAATCAGTTTCTGGAGATCTTAGCAAATTTGAATAAAAAGATCTCAAAATAGTGCTCGAATTATTTTTATCGTTTTGCAATGATTCATTAAAACTTAGAAGGTATTTAGCCAAGCTCTTTTCTTTATTGAATTTGTTTGAAGGAGCTGTGTCGTCACCGTCCATATTTTTTGAGTAATCTATTTTTTGTATATGTACAAAAATATACACGTACAATATAACAATGGAAGTATAAACTATAATTGTGATTTTACATTTAAAATTAAGACTTTTTCAAGTTTTCAAATTTGAAAATTGTGAATTGTGATCACTTATTCTATTTCGGTCTAGGGTTCCGGTTTGTTTGGAGTTTTGGAGATTGGAGAACCTAATATTTTTTGATAATGTTTATAAACAAAGCTGCAAAAAGTAAAGACACATTTGGACAATACATGGTTTCTAAATAAAAATGAAGATATGTATTGTACAAAGGATTTATGTGACAGCAAACAATTACCAATTTACAAAAATTATTTTTCAACTTACCAAAAATTAATTTATGATAAGTTGAAGATCTCGTTCACGAAGATTATTATTTTTTGTAAGATAACTGGATTAAAATTTTTCTCTTTTGCGCTTATACACACTTAAAAATGTTTGATAACAGTGTGTGCTCATCCTAATGCTGATAAAATCTTGAAACAGAAAATGATAACAAAAAAAAAAGATGGCTAATGTCAAATGACATTTCAAAAGTCCACGTCATTTCATCAATTTTTAAAGATATATTGTAATTAGAAAAATTATTTCAGAAAAGAGGTATTTTAAAAATAAATAATGGATATGTTGTCTGGTGATGTTAATCCTGAGAGTCTTAACGATTTGATGGAAGCACACGTTAGATCTCCGTTGGAAAATTTGAACGAAAATTGGTGTTACGATTTCACCGATCCATTTGACTTTTTGGGTAACTATGATAATTCTCCAATTAATTCCTTTCAAAATCCGTATGACGAAATATGTATGGGTTTGGATTCTGAGGCTGAAAACATCTCAGGAAGTTCTTCAGATTCTGGAGTTTCTTCGGATAACTTAGATGTTGATATTAATGATACATTAAATTTAGCAACTGAAAATGTAAATAAAAATGTTTTTACCGAGGATTCTCCACAATTGTTGAGTAAACCATCAAATGAAAATGATGAGAAAACTCTGCCTAAGGTAGTTGTACAAAAGGTTCCTCAGTTATTTACAATAACACCAAACAACACAAACATATTTTCGAAAAATAAATCCCTTGATAAAGCGAATACACCAAAAGAAATTAAAGTTGTAAAAGTTGCCCCACTTAATAATAGTGTTAATAAAAATAGAAATGTCACAATTCAAATAAATAATTCTAAAAATAATGGAAAAATTCAAACAAATCCTGGAACATTTTTCATTAGCAAGGGTAAAATTGCTGAAATAAAAAAGAGCAATCAAAATCCTAAAAATCAACATTCTATTTTAATTCCTATATCGGTCAAGGGCATAAAAGATTTCAAGGCAGTTAAATTGTTAAAAACCATACCTAAAGAAAAAACATTTGAAAATGAACCAAATTTAAAATTATATTCACATGGATTACATATTGAGAAAGATTATCAAGATGACGAAGATGATAAAATGGACTATGAAACAGAGAGTGTCAATGAAAAAGAATTAAAATATCCCAAGCTTATATTAACCTCTGAAGAAAAACGGCTTTTAGCTAAAGAAGGGATAACTTTACCACAATATTATCCTCTGACTAAAAATGAGGAAAGAGAATTAAAACGAATACGCCGAAAAATTCGTAACAAAATATCAGCTCAAGATTCAAGAAAACGGAAAAAAGATTATGTTATTGGATTGGAAGCGCGTGTAAAACAATGCACGGAGGAAAACCAGAATTTAATGAAACGCATCAAAGTATTGCAATTGCAAAATCAAAGTTTAGTATCGCAAATGAAAAAAATGCAAAATTTGCTTACGAAAGGTACGGATAAAATTACACATCCCACTACTTGTTTAATGGTATTGTTAATGAGTTTAGCACTAATAACAGCTCCAAATTTAAATTTAACTAAAAATGAAAAAGAATTGATGCTGGATGAATTTTCGAATACTCAAGATATTGCTATTCAAAATAGAAATTTATTATCAAATTCAAAGACGAATATTCTAGAAAGCTTTGAAGACGATAAAGCATTTTCCTCAAAAAGTAATAATTTGAAATTTGTTGATTATGATGTCGATGACAGAAATTGGTATGAGATAAAAACAGATGCTGAGAATAATTCTAAGCATATTGCACATAGTAATAATATATTTACATCACTACCTTTAGAAGAAATTCATAAAGGAAATAACAACGATGGAGATATACTAGATTTGTTTTCTACGAATTATTTTTTCAATTTCGATTCATTAAATGGAGCTAATGTTGATGAAAATAATATTGACATGAAAAATGAAAACAAATTTCAGTCTCCAGAAATAACGAAACAACTAAATGTGTTATCTTATCCAAGATAAATTGTTAAACAATCATCACTATTTATTCGGATATAAAAAAATATAATTTTTTAGCTTTGATTTGTTTAGAATTTTTTTGACTATTTTTAATTATATCCACCATACACCATTATTTTATTATACAAATGTATGTATATGTATACCTTATTGGTTATCGAGTATGTTTTGTAATTTAAGATTTATGTATCTTTATATAGAACTATATAGCATGATATAGTTACATAAACAATATAACTATGTACATATTTCTTTGTACAATTTAAATATAATAAAATATATGAAAATTATAATAAAAAATAAAATATAATAATGTATGTACCTAATTTAAGTTCTGTATAGTCTTGTCTTGGTTTTCAATCGACTTAATATGAAATACAAAACAAATACAAATCAAGATTAGTGGCATCTTTTTTTACTATTTTTAAATTTATACATATAAGAGTTATACCTAGGAACTATAACGTTTATACATATAGGAAAAAGTGTCTGTGACTCGAACTCTGCTATATATGGTGTTAACGGCAATTGGTAATGAAATAATAGCGCGAAGTTACAATTCAATAATGTAATAGTATCCTAAAAAATTGGAGACTAGTATTAGTTCTGGGGATTTTAAAATATATACATACATACATATATAAATTTACATTCACATCTAGCTAACACAAATCAAATCTTCATAGTTTATCATCCGATTTGTCGGTGATCAATGACGATTTTTACAACATATAGCAAAAGTCGTGCGATTTTGAATTTTTAAAACGTTGGATTGGAAATACTTAACACCGATTTTTTTAAAGAAAAATTCATCAATCAAGAATTTTTCAACTATTTGTTTTGATTTAACTTAATTCAATCTTAACTCTCTATTTTGAATTCAATATAATAAGTAAATAATTTTACACACGCATATTATTATGTATTAGTTATCTTGACAAAAGAGTACTCTGACAAAACGGTCTTGAGTAAGTTGAATTGATCTTGACTGCTAATATATACATACATTTTTTCTTCATTTCGAAACGTTGAAATATTTTGCATGCTTTTTATTGCCTAGATATACCTACATACATATCTATATATGTATATAAATTATTTAGATTAAAAGATAATTCAGAGAATGTTTTTTGTTATTTTTTTATTTGAATTTTAATACCATAATAATACATCACTTGGCAACTTTTAATTTATTGTATTTTAAATATAAATAATTTTTTATCTAATTTTGTTTACTTATAATTACATTTTCTTCGTAGCTAAAATTCGTTTCTTTTTTTCTCTAAAATTCGCTTAATATGTGGCCAATTTAACGATTATTCTTCTGAGTAACGAATTACTAATTGATAGTGATAATTATCGTAAAAAGTTCGGTATTATTATTTTAAAGATAAACCAATTTATACAAGTTATTCATGCTTATAATAGAGCTTTTTGAAATTTTACGATAAATGTCGATTAGTTATTTAATACTCAGAATAAGTCCCAATATTTTATATTATACTGAGGTAATGTTAAAAACTTCAACTGCGAAGTTAAAATCTGAACGGTATAAACAGCGAATGACGTTCTTATGGGAAGTTAACGTCAATCTTTTAAATACGCAAAAATGCTGAATAACTTTACGAAACTAAAAAAACGTATCGAATATGTCAAATATGCTTCTACCTTTAATCATGTACTGTTGGGAAAGCACTGGTCGCTGTATATGAACAAATCAGCTGATACGATTCAAAACAATACTAAAAAATTTTTTTAATTGATAAAATGTTTTGTAAAAATGTTAAATTTTTTAATTTAATAGTAAAAGGCTTTAATTCTTTTTCGGTAAGAAGTTAGCGGCAGTAAAACAAATTGAAATCACATTATTTATTTCTTAAATAGAGAAATATGTCAGCCCAACCACCTCGTCGCGCAATTCTTTACGTGCCTGGGGATAATGAAAAACTAATCCAAAAGGTTTTAACAATCCCATCAGTCGATTGTGTAGTTTTTGACTGTGAAGATGGAGTGGCGCATAATAGGAAGGAGGATGCACGGAATCGAATTAAAAAAATTTTCAATCATGACCTTCCAAATTTAAAGAATATTAGACGAGATTGGGCTGTTAGAGTTAATTCTTTAAAATCTGGCCTGTTAGCGAATGATTTGGAAACAATTTTTAGTGAAACCAACCCTTTGCAAAATCCTAAGACAATATTTCTTCCAAAAGTAGATAAGCCTGAAGACGTAGAAGAATTTTCTGCCTTATTAACAAAAGTCGTTGGCAATCAAAATGAACGTATTAACCTTATATTTTATTGCGAGTCATGCGAGTCTGTGTTAAATATTAAGGACATTTGTAAAAAATTGAAACATCTAAGTTCGTCAGAATGTAACTTTATGCCGGCCGGGATTGTTTTTGGAAGTGATGACTTTTTGGCAAACCTAGGGGCAACTCGGGACGTGTCAGATTCTTCTAATATATTATATGCAAGACAAAAAATTGTTTTGACTGCTAAAGCGTTTGGATTACAAGCTATAGATATGGTATATATCAACTTTAAAGGTATTCTTCGTCTACTTGTATAATTTGTCATGAAAATTTTTGATTTTAGACTTAGATGGTTTGAAATTGCAATGTTTAGAAGGTTCAAAGATGGGTTATACAGGAAAGCAAACAATTCATCCTGCTCAGGTACCGATTGTTCAAGAAGCTTTTATGCCTGCCAAACACAAAGTTGAATGGGCTAAAAAATGTTTAGATGCTTATAAAGAACACCAAAATCTTGGGAAAGTAAGTGCAATTAATTACATATAATTATCGTTTTTTGCAGTATTTTTAAAAAAATTTAAATTTATAAGGGGCTTTTTTTAATTGGTATATAATGTTGTAGTAGTAATTGAAGCATTTAACAATTTTGTGTTTAAGTGAACGTTTATAATTTGCTAGGATTTTTAAAAACGAAAGTTTTAATAGTAAAGGAAAAGGATTTTTGAAAATTGCTATTATATAATTAATATAATTAATTGTAATTTTTTTCTTTGTAACATGTTTCATATAACATTTTTCTTTTTAGGGTGCTTTTGTATTTGAAAATCAAATGATTGATAATCCAACTGTGGAACAAGCGATAAATATACTGAAACTAGCCGAATTAACCAACAAAAGAAATTGAATCTAAAATAATTTAATTATGTTCAATTAAAGGCAATTTGTCTTTTCATAAAACCCTAACAATTTTTTTTATTTAACTCAGATAATTTTATTCTCAATAATTTTTTATCTAATCGATGTTTGCACAAATATTGACCATTTAAATGTAGAACAGGTATATCATTTTTGTATAGTTCGAAATAATGCATATTCTCTTTTTCTGTTATATATACTTTTTCTAATTTATATTCTTCTTTAAAATGAACCTCTAATTCTTCAATTAATTTGTCACAAAGTTGACATTCGTCTTTTGTAAATAAGGTTAATATTGGTTTTGGTAATGTTGGGATTCTATTGTCTCTAAAAATTGGCGAAAAGAAAAAAAAAAGAACAAATATATAAGAACATATTACACATGTGTATTGTAAGAAAATATATAGTATGTATATTCGTAATTATTTCATAACTGCTAGGTAATATAAACTCAATATAAAATAAATGCCAATCTGGTGTAAAATTTCTACTTTTTTTAAATAAGAAATTCTTACAGTTTTTTTATCACAATCGATGTAGCCCCTCCGCCACCATTGCAGATTGATGCACAGCCCAATTCACCACCTTTTAAACTATGTACCAAATGCGTGACTATTCTTGCTCCACTCATTCCAATTGGATGACCTAAAGATACCGCTCCACCATGAATATTTATTTTTTTCGGATCGATATCTAATTTTTTTTGGTTAGCAAGAACTACAACAGAAAACGCTTCATTGATTTCCCACATGGTAATATCTTGTTTGTTTATCCCAGTTTTTTTTAGTAGCTTGTCAACCGCGAAATATGGTGCAATGGGAAAATCGATTGGATCTGTTTCTGCATCTTGAAAACCTACAACAGTAGCTAAAGGTTTGCAGTTAAGGCGTTCCGCTTCTTGCGCTGTCATTAAAATCAAGGCAGCACCACCGTCATTTAAAGTTGACGCATTACCGGCAGTTACAGTTCCCCCATCTTTTTGAAATACTGTTGACAACTTATCGAATTTATCAAAATTGACACGCTTATATTCCTCATCTTGCGAAATAGTAATCTCTGGTTTATGCTTTTGTTGTACTTTTACTGGTGCTATTTCAGTGTCAAAGATTTTCTCGGCCCAAGCTTTTTCTGATCTTTTGTACGAACTGATCGCGTATTCATCTTGATCACTTCGTGTTATACCAAGACTTTTAGCAGTGTTTTCCGCACAGTTTCCCATATGGAATTTATTGTAAACATCGGTTAATCCGTCAAACACTATGCCATCAATTAATTTTATACCGCCTAAAAAAAAATTTTAACAAAAATATTCTATACGGATATTAAAACATCATACCATATGGTGTTTCTCCCCTTTTCAAGTAAAACGGCACATTGGACATTGACTCCATCCCACCTGCAACTACTACATTTGCTAATCCAAGCATTAGGGACTGCGAACCTAAAGTTACTGACTTCATTCCAGAAGAACAAACTTTGTTTACAGTTGTGCAACAAACTGTATTTGGAAGCCCTGCAAATATTGCAGCTTGTCTGGCTGGCGCTTGACCTAAGCCAGCTGATACTACATTTCCCATATAAACTTCATCAACATTATCAGGAGAAATTCCAGCTTTAGATACTGCTGCCTATATATTAAGAATTTCACATAAAAATGATATTATTAAAAAAAATTACTCGCAGCAATTACACGCGCAGTTCTTAGTAATATTTTTTTATTGTATAAAAGGAAAAGAAGTTATTAGTTAACAGTAGTTGAAGATTAACCTTTAATTATTCGTCCTTTAATTTATTAACTCACTTTGATTGCTACAGCTCCCAATTGGGTTGCAGATAAATTTGATAAGGTACTATAATATTATATAAGTTTTAATAAAAATTTAAGAAATTTTTAATCTAATATTATACCTTCTAAAGCTGCCTATCGGCGTTCTGGCAGCGGCAACAATAACCACATCATTTAATTGCTTTGAAGAAAAATGTCGCACCATCGATCTCGTGCAGGAATTTGAAAGGGTCAAAGTCTAAATATTTACGCGTTATACTTTTGATATGTTATAAACAAAAACTAATTTACCTTTAAATTTCCAATAAAATTGAACATATTTAACTGAAATTTAAATTTTATTAACAATATTTTAAGAAATGAAATCCTTGATCAAGGTTGACGTTGCTCATTGAAAAATAGAAGCAATACTTATGTGCATACTTACATATTTATCTTACACTACGAGACTTCACTTGCTGATAAATAGCAGATATCAATGAAAGCTAGGGATGACTTGATCCAAATATGTATCAGTTTATTGTCTTATATTCTTATTTCTATTGTCTCTTGGTAAAATTCAGTAAAATAATTTTCTCTCAAGTTATATTTAAGATAAACTTATAGTTGATCTGAGCACCTCGATTTCGGTAATGTTTATAAATTATGAAGCTAGATTATTGACTGAGCTCAGACTAGTGTAATATTTACGTACATACATACATATGTATGTATATATTGGCATTTCTGAAAGCCCATTATTTACTTATTAATTTATGTTTCAAACAGTATAAAATATGCTTTTTATTATTTCAGTTTGTTTGTATCCTTGACTAAAATATCGTGTTAGTGGATCTATTCTGTATATTCATAACTTTTTAACTATATATGTACATAGATTCGAAATACAATATCTTTTGAAAATAAATTCATTAAATGTTTTTAAAAATATTTTGTATTTTGTATTATGGGTTTTCCTCAAACATAGTGATTAACTAGCTTTAGATACATATTTTAAGAAAAAGTTATTTGCAATCTTGATATCAAATTATAGGTGGATAATAGCAATAAGTAAGTAGGTATACCTACCCACCGTAACTCTAAGCAACCACTTTTGCAAATTTTGTCAACCGCAAATTTTGAGCTTGTATAAATTGATTAATTTTGTTTAAACTGATTAAAATTTTAAAGTGGATATTCAAAAACGAAAAGTAATGGGCATACCTATCTTCCTTTTAGATTATGTTCAAATGATTTTGTTTTTTCCATTTATACATATATCTCTTACAAATACAAGTTCTATCTGCATATGGAGGTTCTAAAATCCGATTTTTACTAACATATTAAAATAATGAACAAAAATTTCATTTTTTTCTTCTTATTTGGTTTTTAAAAATACAAACACTTTTTTGTTTAAATTCATTTCAAAATGGGTCGCATAACTACGAACAAAACACACAATTTCCTTAAAAAATACACTTTTTTTATTATGATAAAGTAAAAATATACATAAGTATTTTTCAAAATGCAAGCTTTTTCATCAATAAATATATATGCTGATCTACTTCAAAACCGTGTAAATTGTTAGCGTCGCCTTGCAGTCTCATCAGAAGACCACCGTAAGATACATAAGCTGATAGTCTACTTGAAGCTTCATTATGCGCCTCATCACCTTCTATTCTATAAATTTTCCCATACATTACATACTCGAAGCTGTCCGCCCTTGTTCCCTCTTGCTCTAGTGGATTAAATTCTCCACTATCTGGGCATCCATCTTCCCTGAGAGTTGTAGCTAAAACTAAACGAAATTTGTCGCCTAACTCCATTGGATACAACCAAGAATTAATATCTAATATTAAATCCATTTTGAAAGATTCTGATTCACAATGCAATCTACTAACTCGGTCAAATTTTTTTCCTTCAGGATCCATATCTTTTACATTAAAAATGTCTTCAAATAACACACCAGCCATATTTCGGCGTTTCAATAATTAACCAGTATAAATTTCTTCAATAAGTTTTAAAAATTTTAGGTTAATCAAAATATAAATTTGAAACTATGTTTACTTTCTCGTCAATACAACAAAAACCCATAATAATAAAAAAAATTAAATGTCACAATTCATAACAAATGTGCTTTTAAAAGAATGATTCAGTGTTGCACAAACTTTGTAGCTTTAGTTCGTCCAACGCGTGATTTTTAACATTCACAATTTTTCTGCTAAATAAAAATAAATTAAGTGGCTTAACAGGACCTGATCGCCTAATCGTGAGTAACTATCATATACTTGTATAAAGTAATTTTCAAGTGACAAGAATTATTTAGTATTTCGTATCTCGTTTTTTTCTAAAATGTATACAAAATTTATACACTTTGTTTTTAAAAGAGAGACGTTCAGTCGATAATTTAAGAAAAAATGCGAAAATCCAATTAAAAAAATGAGTAATCTTATTGGAAACGTGAAACATCCATTAGAAAATACTGAGAATGCTGATTTGAAAGTGAATAGAAAGTGAGTAAAAAAGCGAGATACACGATCAAGCTGTAATATTTATAAGCACTTTCAACAAAATTTAATAAATTGATTATCAATTCCGTTCCTTTATAAAGCCGTTCAACATTCTCAACCATTAATATATTATAAAGACAAAGTTTGCTACACTTTCAAAAAAAAAAATAAAATAAAAGAGCAATCTCAATTGAACTCTCTCTCAATTATTTAAAACTCATTAAATACAAAGTAATAAGGCTTGGAGTTAGTTTTAAAACATTTGAACCGAAAGTGCTTAACATTAACCGACTTTGTCAGACGGCAAATTACTCTATTCTCAACAGATTTGTCATCAGATTTTGTATGAATAAAATGCGGCCGTAAGTTTTTTATGAAAGTTTGGAACAGCGATCAGCACATTTTTATTTTGATTATAAACCGTAGCAAAATTATTAAACTTCGACCTAAGTTCTGAAATCTATCAGATAATGACTTTATCGTAGATTTAATTTTAGATTTAGTCGTATAATATGTAAACATTACGTTAGATTTTGTCGTATACATAAACATTACATTGCATCAATATGACAAGCTAAGAAAATCAATTTGACATTTCTGTAGCTTAACTTTGGCTGGTTGTAAAAAACATCAGCTGTCACTTTATTATATTATTTAATTACTTTTTTTATCTCAAAGATTTACTGCTAGCATTATTTTTTGTGCTACTTTTATTTTTGAAGCGACATATTAGTTTTTAAGTGAATTTAAAAGGTTGTTCGTTTCAAAAAGTGTAATAAAATACTCAATTGAATTTTGTCGATTTTTTTAAGAAATATTGGTGAACACGTAATTTATTGGTAAATTTGGCATTACATATTTTCTTTAGGAACAATAAGATGTCATTAAAATAAAAAAGTTCACAAAGTGCATATTTGTTTGTATGTACGTGTTATCGAAAATTATTTTTGTAAAATTTTCAAGAATATAGTATTTATACATATTCATAATAATATTAGACGATTCCGGATTAAAATAAGCAAAAAACAAAATTTATGTACGTCAGTCTGAAAAAAGGTTTTTGTTAATATGAATAAAGTGCAAAATTTTTTATAACAATCAAGTTAACAATATGTGCAACCTATGTTTCAAAAAAAGTAAGTGAATTTAATTTTTAAACTTATATTTTACATAATTTCTTTCTATATTTCAGAGACTTATAAAATTTTTCTTAAAAACATAATATGTCGGACTTAGCTTCATAGAAAAAATTTTGGTTTATGTTTTCGCGTCTTGCAATAATGTCGACAATAATTTTATTGAAAATTTAATGGAAATAAGGTATCCAAATAAAAGTGTTTTAGAAACTTGTTTGCTTAATTTTTAGTAAAACACAAATAAGTTCATATATTGTATGTATATTTTTGGTTTTTTTTTTAATAAAACTTGATTATTTGAATAAAAGCTGCACAAATACAAACATATTTGGAATTGCACGCAATTGTTATATTTTATAAGCAAATTGCTTTAGTTTTATAATAAAAAGTGTTATTGCCAATTAAAAGCAAAATAATGACTGATCCAGAACGCTCAAGTATTTCATCCGGGTTTGCAGTACCACAATGGATACGTTCGAAAACAGATCGGTAAGTTTTATTTTCATTAAGTCTTCCTTAGTTCAATGTACACGTATAGTTTTGAAAATGGTATTCTTGTATCTAACCACCTGCCCAATAATTGCAAATTACCTATTATCTTTTTTTTTTTGGTTCGGGTATCAAATTGCTTATTACATTAGAGACTTTATAAGTTTTAATAACTATTAATTTTGTAATAAAAAATATTAAAAAATGAGCAAAATTCCACGCTTTTTAAAATGATATTCTTGTATCTAACCACCTGCCCAATAATTGCAAATTACCTATTATCTTTTTTTTTTGGTTCGGGTATCAAATTGCTTATTACATTAGAGACTTTATAAGTTTTAATAACTATTAATTTATTTTGTAATAAAAAATATTAAAAAATGAGCAAAATTCCACGCTTTTTAACATATTACAATTAAAAAACTCAACAAATGTAACAATTTCTCTTTCTAAAAAGTTTCAAACTTTGTTTAATAATTTAGCCAATTTATCAATATTTAATTCTATACTAAGAAAGTTTGTATGACCTTCTACAGAATAATAAAAGCATAGAAAAACCTTGTTATGCTGATAAAAATTTGCTTTTTCTTGCTTCAAAATTTTTTTTGAAAACAAACCATTTTAATATAGAATAGAATATAATATGTATGTGTAATTAATAAAGGAGGGATATTAAATTTTCCTAAAATCATACGACTTTAAGTTTATATATGTATTTTATTTTAAACTCAAATTTAGCCGTTAAGAAATGGCTTGAACTTTATTATGAGGCATTTAATTCACATAAAAATGATTGAATGATTTGTCAGTAAAGTTTTATATTTTTAATCTCCATTGCAAGTTGTTTCACGATAGATAGGTATTTGCAGGTCGTAGCTTATAATTAAATACGTAACGGCCGAGTTTGTTTCATTGAGTATGAGTATTGATTATGTGAGCCCTTTCGCAATTCATAAATGAATATCTCGTTTATTATAAGTCAATTTGTGGTAGAATAAATTAATGCAAGTAACCATGTATGTATGTAATTTTTTAAAGTAAATAAACTTTGTTTACTTCAGATGCTCAATGAACATATATTTTAATTTATCTACTCTGAATCGGAACCCGAATTCAAAAATTAAAAATGTTGATCTGAACTACATTGATATAATACCTTTGATACACTTCTATCAAAATCTAAATTTAAATGTAATTTAAAATAATATTTAAGTAATAATGTTTTAATTTTTCAGAAACGACTACGATGTTAATTTTTCACCTCCGCCACATGATGATTCGTTTTTCTATATACGTTATCCAGTACAAGATAAACCTAGAACCACTATTAAAAATTTATCTGAAAAAATTCAAGAGGATACAAAAAATCACAATTTTGCATCAAAGGCAGCTTTATTTTCGAATCATACAGAACCATGCAAAAAATTTATGAATGGTAAGTAAAAATACAGGTACCTACACAAAATAGTTATTGTGATGATAATTACAAAATAACAATATCAAAAATAACGTGTTTTTTTTGTGCTATTTTTTTTGGAAATTTCAAATTAAAAGTATTTTGAAACTTCTTAAATTTTTGTTACACTTTATAATTTCAGAACATCTTCAATCGTCGTTTTAAATATTTTAAATCCTCGAAATACTTAATTGTTTTCAAATTTCTAAAATTTTTTGAATATATTTTTCCGTATTTTATATAATGTTGCAGATAATGTAACATATTATAATCAACTGTTTATAAATGATATTAAAATGTTCTGAAATTATTTTTGAAATAATATTTACATAAAATTCATAATTAAAAATTACATTTAATTAATTTAAGCTTAATGTACACTCTTATATCTGTAACAATATTATGTGAACTGAATTGAACTTTTTAGAGTATCAAATATCTAACATTCATTTATATTCGTTCCTTTGCTTTGTTCATTCTCTGCGTTTGTTTGCAGAATTTGCTTTCTTTGTTTCTAAAATTGTACTGAACGAAGTTCAGAACAAAAATTATATATATGTAATGATACTATAGTGCTAAAACATATTATTGAATTAGTTCTTTGTACACAAATGTTTCTTGAAGTTTTATTTTTGTTTTCTTTACAAAAAAGAAATATAATATGTGCATATTATATTAAAATAATTATCCAATCTCTAATTTTCCGTGAAATGAACTATATTTTTTATTTAAAAAAATATTTGCATTTTATTTTCTGACAGTGATGTGTGATAACTACATTATCTAAATGATTTTCTTTGTAGATTTTTAAATGCACTCTTGACAACAATTTTTCAGTTACCTATCAGGTATAAAAATCAATTGCTTTATAGATAACACAAAATAATAGGGCTGTAAACATTTGTTTTTTTTTTTATCAAAATTGAATCTAAAATATTAATAACCTTAGTTAAGTAATTAATTGATGTTCGTTGTTTTGCCAACATATAAAACATTGTTAGAGAATTAGCTAAATAACTTTTTTCCAAAATGAAGCAATCTTTAATGTAATTCTATGAAATAAAAACTCTTACAATATCCCAAAATTTCCTGTAAATTCCTTTCATCGAATAATAAAACTTAATTTACTACAGTCATAGGTTTTAAATTTCCGTATATGTAGGTGTCACTTTTTCTTAGCTGATATGTACAAGATTAATTAAAAAGGTTCTAAAAAACTGCTAAAAAAATATACACGTAATGTAAAATCATGTTTAGCGATAAAAATATTTAATTTTAAAGTTGTTTGTTTTCAATATAATATTTCAAATTTTTTATTACGATCATTCAAGTTAATAGTCTATGCAACGGCTTGCCACTCCCATCAAAGATTACTATTATCACTACCAAATACTTCTTCGTGATTTCTTACTAAAATTGCCCAGAAATTAATACCCAATTCTTGTAGTAGTGATAAATATTTAATTAAAAAAATTACACCAAAAATGCATACTTTACAGGTTTAAGTTATTAAGCTAGAGTCTATGATAATCTACATTTTACATTTCTAAAAACGTTTTCCGTAGTTTTTTCGTTTCAATTTTTTACATCTCTATTACATTTAGAATTTCTCATATGTTACTCTACAATGAAAAATTTTTTTTCTTATAAGTTTTCAAATTTCTTATTTTTGGTTACCAACTGATTATAATATGCTAAAATTTTTTACGACTTTTTTTAGTTTATTGCTATTATTTATTTTTGTTTTTTATTTTGTTAATTCGTTGAATATAAATTATATTTAAGTAAAAGTGTGAACCTACCTTTAATTAAAGACTTATTAAAAAGCTTTGAAAAAATAAAACTATGGGGTAAAAAAAAATGATCAAAATTTCCAAATGATTCTTATTTTAAGCAAAAAACAATAAAATAGAGGCACGTCGTTTTTATTATAATAATAATTTTATAATATTAAATTGTTTTTATATACAACACAACTTAGTGACGATTTTTGATTATTCATATACATAAATATATAGTGTATGTATATAAACACATGTGTTGTTTTATTTTCAACACCAAAAATTTTAATTTTCATTTGGTTTTTCGTTATAATTGTATTTTTTTTAATTTTGTATGAGTATCTTCTATTTTAGTATGTTCATTTTATGTATGTATGTAGAAAATGAAAAGTGTGTTGATAAGATATCTATATAAAGATATTTATAATATTTCGTTTTCATTATATGTATTAAATAGCAATTTTAATAGCTAAACGAACAAAATATTGAACAGTATTTTAAGTTAATCTTTACATTTATAACACTGACCGGAAAACTTTCCACATCTTATATACAAATTAATAGACGCCTTAATATTATTAATATTCAAGAAATTTTAATAAGGAGGACGTTCGTCGTGAGCTATTAACTTCACGCATTTTGTAAATATTTAAAAATTAAATTAATTTTGTATTTTTTATTTAACTTAGTTAAATATAATTAAGTATCAATTTTGATTTCCATCAGTTTTAATAATGTTAGAAAATATAAAATTAATTTTTTCATTATTTTACTTAGTTTACACTATTATTTTTAAAATAATATCAATTAAAATTTAATACATTTAATTGTCAAGTGCATTATACATAATAACGGAGGCCGTGTGATGGCACCAAAATTTCGCATTGTGGTGGAAGATGCCGTTAGGCTGGTCTATGTGTGAATGAGTTTATTTGAAGTTAAATTTTTAACAAAAAAGTTATACTTTTCTAGGTAGTTGGAATGTAAGAATTTTCATGATCTTTTGCAATACTTTTGCTAAATTAAATAATACACTGTGCAATCAGCTTTGTGCTGATCACATTAGATTTTTTTAATATAACATCTTATTTTATTATAACATCTAGAGTAAATAATTATTATTCAATTTATCGTACTTACATATGTATTAATTTTTTATCTTTACATCAAACAATCAATCACACAAACAATATATTATACAAAACACTTAATAAAGTATTGACCAACTATAAAAAAAATTTTCGTGAAAGTATAAAAGATGACGACCAAAAACCAAAATTTTTTAGTTGAATTTTAGCGATTATCTGTTAATTAAGCAAGCAATAAGAGCAAGAGCTTTTGAAAAAGAATAAAAAGAAAAAGCGAGAGTTTCGTTAACAAGCAAATATTTTCATTGTTTAGTACATTATTTAAATTTATTTTTTACTTCTTCTACATACGTACATAGATGTACTATAAAAATTGAATTAACGTACATAGATGTACTATAAAAATTGAATTGATTGGAAAACGAAACTAAATAAATATTTATATTGATTTTTTTTCGTACTTTAAAAGTATGTATATTTTATATACTTACATATAAATATAAAATATTATTATGTTTTTACTAATCATTGTTAAAATTAAAAGCAAAAGTATAAAGAAATAAATAATCGAAAATAATGACGTAAAGATTAGTGTGAAATTACTCACAAGCATTTCATTAGAAAGAAATGAAGAAATATGAGAATTTTTTATTGAAATTTCATGTTAATTCATCATATACCCATTTATTAAAAAATTAAATAAAATTAAATTCAAATAATTCGTGAATAAAGAAAATTGTGAATTTCAACATTAAAATAAAGTTTTTCTTTTATGTTTTCAAAATTAGATTAGAAAAAAAATTTTCCGAATACTTAATATAAAAATTTCATTCGAAAATGGAAAGTAATAGAATTTTTTTTTTAAAAAAATAACAAAAAAAAAATTCTAAAAATTATAAAATAAATAAAAATGTGGTGTGTTCTTTTCTATTTTTAGTTTCATTTAATGAAAAGAAAAAAAAAATTATTTTAAATTTTGCGTTTTAACCTATTTCGTCCCGCAGTTCCGAAAATTGGATAAAATATAAAACTAAAGCGTAGTTTTAGTCCTTACTTTTTTAAAAAAATTTTAATTGTACAATGTTTTCTTACAATTAAATCTTTTAGTACTTGTAACATTTTATGTAAAGGAAAAATGCTCAAAATGACGTTTTAGTGCAAAGAAGAGAAACAAAAAAAAAATTATTTTCTTCCAACTAGTGAGCAACCGAAGGACTTTTGATGTAATCTTTTAAAAAAATTGACAATCATATGTTTTTTATTTTGTAGTTCGCAAATATTTAAGGAACTTATTTTCTTTTTATTCACAAATTGACGTTTATTAAAAGAGTACACAACAAAACGAATTTTAATTAGTTTTTAAAATAAAATAATTTTTTTTTTAAATGTCATTTTTAAAATTTTGCTCGAGGAACAATATACACTAAGTTTTTTTTAGAGAACATAATGCACTAGTGAAAGAAATTATTTAACATGAATTGCTGTTGTAGCAATTTTGCTTTCACATATGGGTCTATCGATGAACAACCTTCTGCATGAATCAGTGAAGACCCATAAAATTATTATCAAAAAATATGCTTGCAAATTTAAAATAATTTTTGATTGAATTTTTTCTAATTATATATACATATATGTATATATGTACATATTATGTATCATGTGCGTGAATGGTACATTATTATTGTATTTAAAAAAAACGCCTGAGGATATGTTTGAATTTAATTTCGTTTTCATTGTGATAACCATTATTATGTACACCATATTCTAATTATTAGAAACTAGAAAATTTTATTTTCAAAATATAAAAGTACAAAAACACAATGCAATTTGTTTTTTTATCAAATTTGTTTTATTTGGGATTAAAGTGTTGATACAAAAGTAAAAAAAAAAACCAAACTACTTGAATTTTCTAAAAAAAATTTTTACATAAATTAGATAACATTTTTTGGAGTCATTTCCAAAATTTTAGAACATGTTATTAAAATTTTGTGATTACAGATCTAACGTAAGACAAAACTGCCTAAATCACAATTAATGGTTTCGAATATTTTAAGCTTAAAATTCATTTGTAGGACAATTTAAATTTTTTGTTGGTTTGGCTTGCTTATTA